CACACACACACACGCACGGAGCAGCCTCAGACGTTCTGTGAGGTGATGAACAGAGAGGACCTTGTTTATCCTCCATGCCTCTGCGCCATATAAACTGGTAGTGACAGAGATATGACAGCGGCAGGTGGAGAAGAGGAACACGACGCACTTTGTGAATGAAATGGTTCTCAAGCGGATCGTCTCAGCGGCTCACAGACGCAGTAATGTCAACCACCGTGCTGCCTCAACAAGCCTTCACATATTTGGGTTGGGCTGCGTGCACAGACAGAAAACGAAGTGAGAACAGCAGGAACTGTGGGTCTTAGAGACTCCAGCTTGAACCAACACGTCCGTGAGAGTCGCTCTGTGTGATAACACAGTTAAGACTCCTGTTGCTCAGTTACTAAAGTGCGAGTGTGAGTAGCTAGCTAGCATTAGCGTGCTAACCCAGTCCGGTCCAGTTGGTTATTGCTAACGCGCATGTGACTGCGTACATAGAGAGGAAGAGAAGCGGGAAGAAGAGCTGAATGAACCGGCACCGACAGCGGGTCGGAGTCGGGGGCACGGACACTCACCAGCCGTCACACCACAAACGGACGACGCGCTTCCTTTTCTCCGGGCTACACACCGAGCCAGGCGGCTCACCGCACCCGGCTCCGTCCCGCCGGTCGCCGCCTGCAGCGTGGTGGTGGTGACCGTTCTTGATCATTTCGACGGGTTCCGACGAAGACCTGAGTGCAGATGAGAAGAACCAGAGGACGTTTAAAGGTCTCCAGCGGTGTCAGCCCCGGGTTGAGTCAGGGAGATGATCGGCGGACTGGACGTCTTCTTCTCGTGTGTGTGTGTGTGTGTGACACTGTGCCGAGCCAACGCCTCCAAGGCTACGTCACATCGGACGGAGCCGCTCACGCTGACGTGGTGGTTACGTAAGAAGCGCAGAGCTGCTGATTGCGGAATACCTCCTGTCAACTCCACCTAAAAACAAACTGAAACCAGATACATGTCACTAACTTTGAGCTTCTCTCTGTTAGTGTATCTCTCTCTCTCTGTAGTCTTTATTTTGATGACGATGATGCTGGTGCTGCTATCATCAATAACATTATTACACTTAGAAATTTCACTTTTTCCATTAAAGCAACAGAAATTAAAAGTTCAGTGAGTAGAATTTAGTGACAGTGGTGAAGTTGCATGTTGCAGCTAATCTCACTCTCTCCAGAGAACCTGTGGTAGACTCCAGTTGTTATAAAAACTTGCTCCTAATGTAAATATTAAGTAATTAAATATAAAGGGACAATTCGAGGGTAAAGAAAACCACAATTTGAGGAATTAAGATGAAACACAGAAGTGGAAACATCATAAGGGTTATTTCATATTAATGTTCTCCCAATAGATCCCTTTCACCTACATCTTACACACTGAACCTTTAAATATGATGCAACCGTTCCTGGTCTCTCTCTCTTCTCTCATTTTTCACCTCTCACCCACAACAGTCGAATCAGATGACCACCCACATTGAGCCTGAGGATTCTTGTCAAAGTGGATTTTTTTCTCCAGTCAAGTGTTTGCTTGTTGTGAGAACTGTTTCTGTTTCTTAAGCAAGATTGGCCAGATCTTCACTATTGATCATTACCATGACCACTGTCAAACATTAGCCACTTTGTCACATTTTGGCTTGAGTTATTATGGTTTCTTGTCTGATTATATTTTGTTAAAATGTGATAAAGCCATATTTCAAATTGTATTTTTATAATCTACCAGACAAAGTAACAAAACAGGAGTCAAAAAAATGATTACTAATCTGAATCAACCAGCAGGCAAGTGACAGTAAAATGAAAATGCAGAATGTGATAAACAGACAAGTTAAAATGAGGAACACTTTATTATCTCAAAAATATTACAACGTCTTTTGCAAAGGAGACAAATGATAAGTCTTCACATCCACTTGTAGCACTGATCTGAGTTTTAGGAATGCTGATCATTAGCTTACCATGGCTAACCTGGCCTTTCAAAACGTCTGACACACTGTGATACAGGCTGAGAGGATTAATACTACTGGATCTTCCTGAGACAAATTAAAAGAGATTATTTGGTGTTAAAACAAGAACTTATTCTCAAACAAACAAACATTTAAGTCTAAATGTAACACTTTAAACTCAGCATTTCTGCCTATACAGAGCTGTAAACAAACAAGTTAAAAATGTAAACATAAGTGAATTCTACAACCTCCTTAAACCACGGTACAGTGGTGGATGTGCTGTTGCCTGTAAACCTGAGGAAAGCAGAGTGAAGGTTGAGTGTGAGTTCAGAAAATACTTAAAAAAAAAAAAAACACAATAAGCTCTGTTGAAAATCATACAATCAACAATGCACCTTTAAATGTCTGTAAAAATACTAAAAAGATATATTTTAGTCCAAGTCAAGAAACATAATAAATATTTGACCTCCATATTTTTTAATATCTCCTCAGTTAAAGTGGTAACATCACAGAATCCAGAAATTGGCCTTTGGTATTCTGCTGTTGTTCCACTGATGGAATGCTCCATACAGTAACTTACACTTAAGACACCTGCATTTTATGGCTATTTAGGTGCTAATGCTCAGTCCAGCAGCATGTTGCACATTAAATAAGTTGCTTTGATGTATACACTAACTTAAACTTAAAAAGGATTTAAAGTGATATTCCACCACAAATCATTCAGCACAGGCAAGCGTCAAACGTGGCTATGAAGATGTCGTGCTGTCTTTGTGATATACTGAGTACACAGGCGGACAGCAGATAAACTGATAATGCTGCAGGAGTGATTTAAAAACTTGACACTACTGAGGTCCAGTGTGACTATTGAGGAAAAGCTGCCACTTCTTAAACCAAAAGGTTGTGAGACACTGAAAAGATCGTTCTCATCAGTTTTTAGAAAAACTCCAGAGTAACAATCTTATGGTTTTGCTGTTCAAACGTACTTTAAGTCTTACAGGCTGTGCTAACCATGCTGGGCTGAAGGTTAGCTCCGTCTAAACCTTGCCGCGTAGATGCCATAAGACAGTAGCATGAGAAACAAGAGCAGCACTGTTTGTAACACTTTTAAATCCTCCTGAAAATGTATGTTGTGTAAGTTCATGGTGCAAAGTGCCATTTTCAAATGGGAAATTTCCAATCTTATTTTTCCCTTCACACGCACTCAGTGCATGTGGGTAAATGACAGAGGCACCCAAGAACATAACAGCACCTTGAAAATTCAAGTCAGAGTTGTCCTCATTACGGGACAGATATCTGACCCCTCATTGGGATCCATCAGAGGAGGCTACAAAATACGTTGCCACAATGTATTGCAATCTATAGAGTTCACTCAGGTTATGCAGCTTTTTTCTTCTTCTTCCTTCCTTTATTATAACCTCGGCCGAACCAGCCGCCCTGCACAGCTGTGCCTTCTTCTGCTTGTCCTCCAGCGTCGGCTGAAAACTCCTGCTGCCCATCAGGGGGAGCTATGACCTCACGGGTATGGCTGTCCACTTCCTCTGGCCGCAGAGGTGTGGCTAGAGTGAAGATGGGGTCATCTGCCCTGATGAGACAGAATGATCGAAAGTGAGCTGGGAGACAAAATGGTTGGCTGAGACGTTTTTAAGCTTTTGAAAATGTTTTACCAGTGTCTCTGAAAGTTATTTTTGGTATAATTACTCCACATGGTTTTTACCTGTCATACACAGGCATCTGAAAGTCCAGCTCTCCCATGAGGAGGCTCATGACGTCATCACACTTGCCATTAATTTTCAGCGTAGCCAGATCATCTTTCGGTGTCCACTAGAACGGACAATCACATTATCAGCCACAGCTGAATTTGTAACTTATTTCACCTAAAACATCAAAACCAAACCAACCTGGAGGTTGACAATGTAAAGTTTGGGCCTTTTGCTTGCTGGTCTGTTCATGCTCCAGAGACAAGCGTATTTCTTCAGCACCTAGATGAGCAACAGAAAGAGCACACAACAGAGATGAGGATTCTACAAAAGAATAAAATGCATTAGTCTATGTGTCAGTGACTGTGTTGACATGATGTATATCAACTTAACTAAGAAATAAGCAACAGCATTGAAACAAACATTTTCAGATTTCTCTCTGAGGTCATTCTAGAGGACAGATTGAAATACAACATATGAATTGTCACATGGTTATGTATCATTTTTAACACGTGCTGAGGTTTCTTAGAATAGGCTACAATAGAGGCTCTCCTGCCTCATCAAAATAAAGACCAGAGCTTTCTTCTAAAATGTGCATGAATGCAGCCAAAAAGGATTTACAGTGGCAGCAACATGTCAGAAAGATAGGACGAGGTTGAGTGTTGGAAAGGTAAATGTTAAATTAAGGTATTATTCATCGTGCAGCGATTATTGTGAATGTTACAGTCCCCAAACATAGTCACATCAGGACCGTCCGTACACACCCAACCCGATCAGTCCTCAACAGATTTGACTGGAATTCATTCATTTCACAGACTCACTGTGGTTAAAWAAAAAAAAAAAAAACCTACCTACCTTCAGACTGGAGCCCAAGCAGAGAATAACGTCTGCCATCTTGGCAGCCTCTGCAGCTCCCTTCCAGTTGAGCGGTTGCTCGAGGGTCCCACGTTCGCCAAAGTGCACTATGGTGTCCCTGAGTTCACCGCAACAGTGGCTGCACCTGCGGCCTGACCCGTGCCGGTGCAGCGATGTCCGCTCCGTCACGTCAAATAAACGAACATACTCCCTAACGGGGGAACAGCCTGTGCAGACCTAAGGAGAAGATGCAAAAACCAGCATGTCAGGATAAATTACAGTCTTTTAAAAAAACTGTTTGAAAAATCCAAACGCTATCCCAGAAATGTCTCAGTAATCTCCTCGTAACAGTGCTCTCTCACTTCTGTCTATGGAAGCACTAATTCAAAACAGGCTTAAGTTTGCTTCATCCTTCATTCTAGACTTTTCTCACTCCCTAGCTGTAACACACTTATTTGTTGTGGAATGACTGCTGTAGTCAGTACTGAATTTAAAAAGGACTTTTCAACTGAGAGGTTTGCTGATGCACACCGTCATATCTGCTGTTGCTTTCTTTCTAGGCTGTGCTCTACAGTTTTTACTGGGCATGATGGGATACAAAGCATTAGAAATGGATCAAATGAGATATAGGCTGGATCTGTTGGAAGTTCTCTTAAACAGTTGCCCGTAACTGTTGATGCAATTAGGAGGAGGAAGCTGACAACAGCAGTGTCTAAAAGATACATGTATTTATAAAAACAAGGATGTGTGTTTTTACCTCAATAAACATGTTTCCATGGAGCTCAGACAGAGCATTTCTGGGTAGGCCGCTTCGCATGTGAAGTCCATCACAGTTCTGAGACACAACATGCTTAACCTTCAGAGACACACAAGATTATTTACTGTAAATACCTTCTTTTTTTTTTTTACAGAGCATCAACACTATATGTCATCATTCTATCTCACATACCATCTTCTCCTTATGAAGCATCCTAATGCACATGTGAGTGAGGGTCGGCTCTGCTTTACTGAGGTCAGAGGAACTGTTGGTAAGGAGAAACAAGAAAAGAAGACAGAACCAGGGTTATTATAGTTAACAAAAACTAAAACTAGCAATGAAAAAATAATTTAGTTAACTGAAATAAAAACGACAATTACAGAAAAAAACGAAAACTAAATAAAAACGACAATGAACAATGCAAAACTAACTAAAACTAAAGTGAATTGCAGATAAATTCAGCTGCGTTTGCGTTGTCGTTTCGTTTTGTCCCTCGATTACTCCCTGTCCTGCAGGTGATGGTTAAAGAAGGAAATTAAAGGACTTGATAAACCATATTTGGTGTCACACATTGTTTCATCCTTTTTCAGCTTCTACAAGTCAAAGCTTTCTCTTAATACCTAGGACTACTAAAACTAAGACTAAAACTAAATAAAAACTGAACTGTAACTAATCGATTCCTCAAAATAAAACCTAAACTAAAACTACAAAATCACTTGTTGAACTAACTAAAACTAAACTGAAATAAAAAAGCAAACTGAAAAACTAAATAAAAACGAATGGAAATTTCTAAACTATAATAACCTTGGACCGAACCAGAAGTATTTCACTTTTAGATAAATAACACAACCACTATCACATCCTGGCAATTACTGCATATCTCACCTGACTGTCCGTCCCTTCTGTAGCTGTGTCCACACTCCATTAGGACCCCTGTAGTCTGGGATAGAAGCTGCCTGAAAGGAAATAATTCATCAGTCCTGTGACCTGTATATATAGAAGGAAACTGAAAATGCAGAGTTTGTCGTACCGTGCTGATCCCAGCTCCAGTGTAGACCACCAGGTGGTGTGCTTGTTTTACTGCCACAGCCAGCTGTCTGACTTTATTTATCAGCTCCTTGGCGTCATCATACACCTGGAGAACATGTAATAAGTTTGTTGTCTGAAGCAGCAAACACTTTCCAGCAAACACAAACACATGGAATCATGACATGACTTCATCACTGTCAGATTCCAGCAAAGCCTTCAGACACTGAGTTTCAAAGCAACCTATGTTTTATATTTCCTGTGGATCATTGTATATTTCAGCCTGATGGTGGTTAGGAAGGTTCACTCAACAGAATTCAATCTCAGGGGACCATCAATATGTCTTTAGTTTTTTGAAGATTTTAAATATAGAGAAAGAAAGAAAGGAAACCTTTGTGAATACAACTTCTACGCTGAATACTTGCTGTGCAGAGGGAATAAACAGTGACGTTCTCAGTGTGAAGTTCTGTAATTGGTGTAAAGAGGAAGCAAAGTACTCAAACATACTCTCACGAATATTTCTCAGGTGTTTCATGTTTTCTACTCGTGGAGAAATCACTGAAATACCTTGAGTGTCTTTTGTCCTTCAGACTAAATCAAACTTGGTCCTGTCACTAAAGTGTCTCTGTGCAGATCAGAGTCCAGCTACATGGAGTCTGTCCCTGGGCCTCACCTCCTCCTGCTTCCTCTTGAGCACACTCCTGCGGACCTGTCTCCTGCTCAGCTCCTCCACTGTGTCTTTGTGCAGGAGCAGCACAGCGGCCTCCTCCTCTGAGCGCTCAGCCTCAGGTTTCTTCAGGACTCTGCCCACCTGTGGTAAACACATCACAGCTGCTCAAACTGCACACACAGTGAGGGGCTGCGGATGTTAGCCAGCTAGCTTGGAGGTAGCAGCCCCAAACCTGCCGGTTCCTCGTCTCACCAGTCTGAAGACCTTCCTCTCGCTCTCCCGCTGCAGTATTTTGGCCTTTTCCAAAGCTTTTCTCTCAGCCCGTGAGGAGACACCGGTGTCCGCCTCCTCTGCCATCACATTGCACCTCAGCTGAGAAGAAGCCATCTATTCAAAACAAAGCTCATCGCACCAACGACAGCCGGATGTTAGCTCTGAGGAGAGGAGACAAGCTGCAGCGCCCTCTGCTGCTTGGAAGCACATGAGTTGTATTTTTTTCTTAAAGGCCCAGTGTGTAAGATTTAGGTGAATGGGAACTACTGGCAGAAATTTAATGTAGAATAATCCTCATGATGTTTTCACTAGTTCATTTCATCTAAATTGTATGAATTGTAGTTTTCTTTACCCCAGAAAAGGTCCTTTATATTTAAATACTTTATATTTACATCGAGGGGACCCTCTCTAAGGACGCCGCCATGTTTTTCACATTAGTCCAGACTGGACAAACTAAACACCTTTTGAGTTTTTATGACAATTTAAGTCTACCACAGGTTCTTTTCCAGCTGCAACATAAATAATTCTACACACTGTACCTTTAAACACAATATACCTTTAAATCAAGTCTCAGCTTTCACAAACTTCACAGCAAAATTAAAAAGTTAAGAAATATTTATTGTCAACGGCACACAAATAAATATAAACGAGCATATAAAACAGGTCCAAAATAAATAACAATAAGGTTTATTTTGGCTGATGTCAATATACAAATATTAAAGGCAATACTTGATCTTAACTAACATCTGGAGCTAGGTAGTAACAACTGGACGATGTGTGAGGATACAAATATAGTAAACATCGCACTAAATGAGCTCAGCATGTGCTAATACACCTGGAGACAGTCTCTTCTTTGTGGTTATTAACAAGGCACATACACACACAAAGGAACTGGATAATAAAATGTCCTGGGCACGGTCACACACAATGTTTTCTGCTTTCCTACCATCCAAAATCTACCTTATAACTCTGAGATGCTGAGCCAGTCTTTCTAGAATGAAGCCATCATGAACTTTATTCATTAAACCTTTGCATTTCCTTTGTGCATCATCTTTTAGGTGCAGTGCTTTAAAAGTCTTTCTGTTAATGAAACATTTCCCCCACTAGCGTCTTCAATGTGCGCACACTGAAGTTGGTAAAAGGACCGGTTAAGAGTGCAGTGATATTTTATCCCCACATCAGAGCATCCAATCGATGAGGAACTACTCTGAGTGCAACTCTAGTCAGTACAATATCATATACTCTGGTGGAGAAGGGGAGAAACACATTCTCTGGCACTTTAGATATGAAATAGAAAAACACATTGGTCAGCAACAGGCATCGCTTTGTGTTAATTTGGGATTTGGAAATTCTCAGAAGATTCGTTCTAAAATATTCATGTGATCGCTAGAGGCCTTATTAGGAGTCCTCACTGGGGCCAATTAGGACAGTGTCATCGGGGTCTAGTGGAGTAAGAGTTCTTGGGGACCCTCAGAGGATTTGCTCTGAAATGTCCTCGTTTGGCTTCCTGTGGCTTCTCAGCAGAGAATCCAGTCTTGTGTCCATTCCTGTGTCCAGTCTTCTTCACGTTCACAACTTTCCTGTACGTTTCCGTTGCCTTCTTCTGGGTCCTGGAGGGAAGAGAAAGCAGGTTTGATCCACAGACAAAGCTATTGCCCACGAAAAAAAAAAAAAATAAGTGCTATTTTAGCTCGCTATGACATTATAATATGTTGGGTTGAGTCCATCATGTTTTGGAATGTGGAATTTGTAATTAGAGATGCTCCGATACGATTTTTCCATTCCTAATACACACCTCTGGACTTTGTGTTTACAGAGAGAACCAACCCAATACCAGTGCTATTGAAAAAACTACTTATATAACGTATTTTAACAGCTGTATGCTACTAAGCCTGCATGGAAGTGATTTCTGCTATTATTGTTGTATGGCCTCTTACTTGAGTTGTAATTAATAACACTAGTGCCACACCTCGAAACTGAAGTCTCGCATTCGGTCCATGTCGCTATTTTACTTGTGACTTTTCTGTGTGAAATATTGCCAAACTACTGACATTTTAGTTAGCTATGGTTGACGCTACACTATCGGAAATCAATTCTTCACCTCTCCAAAAACAGTACTTGCCAGTGGCAGTACAGCCACTTGCTGTTTTGGAGAAGCAAATAGCAGTTTTATCTGGGGTGAATCTAATATACTTGTTGGAGACTTGGTATGGGATCAGTAAATAGATTATCATGCTCGTCGATTCCTGACCAGGCATTTTAAACAGTGTCGGCAGCATTCCCGATGATGGTCTCGGAACATCTTTATTTGTAATGAAGATATATGAGCGCACTTTTAATAAAGTGCAGCAGCCAACATAGTGACATCGGAGTTGAGCTTCAAGTTATCTGAACTGAGATTCCTACATTGTGACTGTACTGGTGATAACTGTGTCTATATGTGTCCTTTTAAAGGTATGCACCACTGTGAGAAAAAAGCAACTTGAAACAGAACATGAAGACTCACGTGATCACTCCTCTCTTCCTCTCCAGTGCTTTTTGTGTAACAGTTGACAGACAACCCTTTTGTCTAGGTTGGACAGCGCCTCCACTCTAAAATAGCAAATACACACAATCATACACATCCATGTAGAGAACACATCAGTCTTTGCACTCCCAAAAGGTACAATATCGTAACACTCACAACATTTGTAATATGTATTAATAGGCAGGAAACAGCACACAATCGATACTACTACTTTAAGAAATTAGATTATCAATGTAAGCACTGCACTAGGAAAAATAAAACAATGTTCTCATTATCCACCAGAATAATCATGAAGCAGCGTTAATGCTGGAGCTCCAAAGGTCTGGACAGTGCTAAAAACATAATGGTATTTTGAACAGCTGTAATTAAATACTGATATTTCTATGTAGTGTTTAGTTTTGGCTCAGTGGTGCATGATCACCAGGTTATGTGTCATTCGAAAGTTAGTCAGTCCTAACCTTTCCATTGCAGCCACTTTCTAACTTATGATTAACAAGGGTACTTATTGTCATTATTTGTAATCTATCACTGTCAACCACCCACACCGATGTGTATCATTTTATCAGCCTGTCCACCCGTCATCTGCACCACTCATCCTTTGAGGATTGCAACTAAGGCTGAAGCCAATCCCAGCTGACATTGGGCAAGAAGCTGGGTACACCCTGGATGGGTCACAAACAAACAACCATTCACTCTCACACCTACAGACTCTTGTCCAGATGTTCTGAGAAGGTTACCTGTTGTCTAAACTCTCTCTCTCTGGTCAGGTGTCTGTCCCAGCTGATGAGCTGCATCCTCTCTCTGGCTGACAGGCTGAAGAATATGTTGTTGACCTCAAAACGTGCAGCACTCAGCTGAGGAAGCAAATAATTACAGACTCAATCCACATAAGCACACACCTGTGATTCATACCTGGACATCACCCCTGTTTGTGTGTTCATCAATTTACACCTGGCATTAGCATGCAACTCTGCATTTGTCTTGAGTGACCACTTGTGATCAGATCTCACTTCCCTGCTCTCAAAAAGAAAGAAGTGTAGTCAGTTGAGTAGTTGATCCTTCAATTTGGCCTAGGATGCTTCCCCATTTAGTCTGCTTAAAGAATGTGGCCACAAGAATCCCAGACCAGCTCCGAATGAGTTTTGATTCTGAGATCAGATCCTGATGCATATTTAATGTGTCTTGGGTGTGTTCACTAGAGCTGTTCACATGTAATCAGATCAACTCATGTATGATAATGCCAGGTATGAAAAGGATCACAGTTGTGATGACTATGAGTGAAGGGAGTGATTGCCCTGTTGTCAGTTTAGAAGAAAATTGAAGTGAGGTTAACAGATTGTTTAAACCATGTTTGACTTCATACCTGCAGAGTGACTCTATTCTGCAGTAAGAGGTCCTCTCTGCCAAACATCTCTCCTCCATTGGTTCCCTGCAGCTGGAGGGAAAGCAGGAACTGCTGCGTGTCCTGGACACACACACACACAACAAAGTATTTGTTAATTTTACAATAGTAACAGAATAAGAGTGTTGCTGGTGACAGACTTGACACTGCCGTCTCTACTTACCCTGATGGTGCGCACCAGCTCTGCCACTCTCTCCGTCCTCATCAGCCTGCGTGTCAGAAAACCTTTTACAGCCGCTGACAGCAGATGGCGGTAGCGCTCTGGCAGTGAGCTGGAAGGCTAAGCAAGAGGAGGAAGATGGGAGAGCGGGTGATGAGAAGGGTGAAATAATGAGGACCAGTGGGGAAGACAGAGGAGAATGCTAATTCCATCAATGACAACCAATTAATTTCCCATGAAGATTCTCAAGGTCTTTTGGTTGGCATCTGTTTAGTGCATCAATTTGAGTGGACTCACATCTCCTCATCATAATAGGGAATAATAAGAGGAATAATAAGCAGCCGATGTGCTGTCACTCACTTGTTGACTCTTGAGCTGTTGCATTAAAGCAACATGTTTGTATAACAAATGTGGAGGTAGATCATAGAGTAATAACAAATGACAGAGGTTACTTATGAGGAATAAGACATCGAGGAGGGACTATTTGTTCCACCTGAGTGTGTCTACTAACTGGGGATGAATAAAAATCATGTGGTAACAGGGATAAGCAGGACAAGCTTTTCGCATCACTGATACTCTTGAACAAATGTGATAGTAATACCTGATAGAGAGTAGAAAAGGTCATCGTGTCCCTGAGACGTGAGGTTGACACGGACCAGGGAGAGGACACCCTCTGGAGGAGATGGTAACGCGCTGTTAACGCCTTCTGAGAGAGAGACAGAGAGAGAGAGAGACAGACAAGGAGAGAGAGACAGGTATGTAAGGATGGAGGGAGGGAATAAGAGGTGAAATGCATTAGTGCGCGCAGGCATGCATGTGTGCATTTGGGAGTCGACAAGGTTGGAAAATATTGAATTGGAAAGACAGCAAATGAAGCAGGAGGAAGAAATTAATTGAGGGTGGAGAGAGAGAGACAGAGGGGGAGAGATGGGGCACAGAGGCAGGAGGGAAGAAATAAGAGAGGGAGCAGAGGAGGAGGAGAGGGATGTTGGGGATGATGAGACAGGAGAGATGGAGGGAAATTAATACAGCCAGAGAGTAAAAATGATGTTGGAGGAGGTATGAGACAAAAGAAAAAGAGGGATAAGAGGGGAGAGAAAAAAAAAAAAGGATAAGGGACCATTAGTGGTGGCACTCGGCGGGACGATCTGGCACTTAACCACAGACGCTCATGAATTAAACAAATTATCCTTTCCTTTTCTGTGTCAACTCCCTTGCTCCCCTCCTCCTTCTACCAGAGAGTCCAGCCAGCTTGCACTCTCATCACATCACAAGCGATGGAAGGATAGAGGGGAGTCAAATACAGCCTCTTTATTAAACAGCTTATGTTAATTATATTGTTGTTAAGGATACATAAATTAAACAGAGACTGTGATTAATAGGGCAAGGACACCGGCCAAGAACAAATACAGACACAAGCGGAAGAAACAGGAACTGGTTGCCAGAGAACAGCAGGCGTCCTTGAAGTGCACGCAAGCACGCACGCACGCACAGACAGCGAGAGAAACAGACGACCACACCAGCTCCCCTCTTAAGGGATGTAATGAAACATTTATAGTAGAAACCCTGTGTTTTTCTGGGGAGAGTCTGAGGGTCTCTAGCAGTGAGGAGATGTCTGTAGTCTGCCCACGACCCCGCGTTTCAAAAGCACTGTAACAGGTAGATATATACATGTGTATATATTTAGATGTGTGTGTGTGTTTGTATATATGTGTGTTCATATGTGGAACAGTGCCAGAGCCTTTCAAATGTCTGCCTCTAGTTTCTAAAGAACGGGTCAATGTTGCATCACAGCTGAGTGATTTGGTCAGAAGCTCTCAGTCTATTCTCCTTTTAAAAAACGATGGACACACCGGGCCGGACATTAATTCATAATTTCTCTGAGGTGACTTTGTAGGGAGTCAAAATCTCTGGTAGAGTGATTTATGGCAGCTGTACAGGAACTACATAGTGCATCACGTACAGCAGCAATATGTGATGCAATCAAATGCAAGAGGCAGACCATGGGATGTTGGAAATATCAATGCTTTTGAATCATATTTAGAGTTATAGAGCTTTTTAAAAATGCTTGGTAGTTAAGGTGTTTCAGACACTAATATTTTCAGATTTTCTCTCATTTTCTTCATGTGTGTTGTCATTAAAATCCCTCTCTTTAAATTCCATTTCCTGTATCCTATTAGCTACAGTACATGAACTAAAATGTACAAGATTAGTTTGCGACAAAGCCTAAACGCGTTACGATCACAGTTGTCCTGTCATTTAAAACCTGCAACAGTAGACTTGTTTTTGTTTAGTTTCATATAGGGCTGGGCAATATGACTTTGAATCAATATCACAATTATTTTAACTTTTACCTCGATAACGATTAATGAACGATTATTTTAACACCAATGGTGCGGATCACTTGACATGTGGGACACACTCCTGCATGTGTCTCCTCGTTCCTGTCGCACTTTACACAAACTGACGATCACATTATTTAGTTATTAATTGATGACGCCAGAATGTTCTGGTCAGATTTGTCCTGACTGTGTGCATCATGTGTCTCATCTTGTGTTGTGTGTGACGGATGAACTGCATGCGTGCAAAATGTTGGGCTGCTTTTCAATATGTTTAAATACATGCCTCCGAAACTTTAGAGCGAATCAAACAACCAGAAAGTAAACTTCGGGACTGCTCAGGTCTTAATAACTTCTGATTATAAAATTTATGAATGCAAATTTGGTAAAGTATTAACCAAATTACCTGACATGGGCAAAATTTAGTCAGTTAGAGGTTATAAATGTCGGTTTCGATACATTATCGGTTAATTGCCCAGCCATAGTTTCCTATCTCTCATTTTAATAACCTCAGTGTCTCCATTTTGCTGGCCCACCTGTAGTAGTTGTTCCTGTTGTCTTTTGTGGTTATCTCGCAGGGCTCTGATCTGAGAAGCATGGACCTCTTTCAACTGCTCTTGATTCTTCTGACTTCCATGGCCTTTGTTCCGCAGCACAGCAGCTAAAACCAGGAAGTACGGAAATGTATCGTCAGATATCAAGATGAGCTGTTGACAAGATAAAATCCTGACAAATACTGAAGGGTTTAGCCAGGTGTCGTAGAGGGCACGCTCGCAGTCCTGCATATGTGGGTAAAATTTGTCTGATCAGGTATTTGTCCTATGTTTATACATGTTTTTCTATATGACATATATCAAAAGCATGCACTTTGCAAGAATTGGAAACTAATCAGGAAAAAACTGGTGTTCCTGGTCGTTATGCAGATTAGATTTAACTCAATTTTATTTGTAGAGTAAAATCACAACATGTGCACACCCCCCCCACAAAAAAACAAAAACAAAATAAAAATCTTACCTGTGGGAATACTGGAGCTAGGTCTGACCACACTGACTACACCTCTTCCGTTGGTATCAGGACTCCTTCCCTTGGTCTCTTCTGCTGTGTGCATGAGCAGTCTGCGTTTGACCTTGGATACCCCGCCCTGACCTACATCCCTGCTCTCTGGGGTCAGGTGTTTCCCTTGAACGGGACAACTTTTTGAGCCGGAGTCAGATCCTGACTTGTTGAGGAGCCACAGGCCAGATGGCGTTTCCACATCATATGACTTGTTGAGAGAACGTGACAGAGAAGTGTCATGACCTTCCATTGCCATCTCATTCCTCCTGTCCACTGGATGGTTACTGGTATCCGAAAGCACTGACGCATTACATTGAACCACGATTTCTGATGGAAGGTTTCTGAAGACATCAGGAATAAGCATCTGTTGTGCAGCAGACAGGATACAATTAACTGGTGGCGGGAGCCTTCTACTGCGGCCATGCAATGCAAAATCAGCACCTCCCAGCATGTCTGGAAAAGAGTCATGATCATTTTGACATAGCTGCACATGTTGCTCATTTGTACTTTGCTCAGAATGCTTGACACTTTTGAGCTCACTTTCCGTGCAGCTCTTAGTCTGGCTGTGGTTCTCCAAATTTGAGACAGGTAAATTCTTACTGGAAAGGTTTGACTCAAGCCAGTCCATGTGATCTGAGCTTAAAGCACCTGGAACCATCACATTCACAGTTGAGGGAACTGTTGTGTGGCTGTTTTGATGTCCCAGGTTTGTTTCATGTTCAACACTCTGGTCTTCTTGCAAGAAAGAATTGAACACAACTTCCCCCTTTGTGGTCTCTGCCCCGTCAACGGGCTCTCCATTTCTGATAGTAACTCCTGTCGAATGTTTGCTTTCAGATTTGACATCCGTTATTTTCCCAGTGAACTCACTCTCAATCATTCTAGTCTTCTTCTCCTCTGGAGTCACAGTCACCTTACAGGGGGACCCATCATTCTCCTTATCAGAGAGGCTCTGCTCCTCTGGCCTTGTTTTAGGCTCTTGATTCCTCTTCTGAACTTTAGTGTTCTTGGATTGGTTCCTAAGCATCCGCTGTTGCTCACGATACTCTTGAGATCTCTTCAGCAAGGCCTGGAGGCTCATATGATGAGGGTTCTCAGATGGTGTTGCTTCAGCTACATTAGTGTCTGCTTGTTCTTTTTCTGTTGGTTCATGCTTGGTATGTAGTTGTGTTGATAGGTTGCAAGGAGTGCTTAATGCGTCAGATAATTCTGGATTATCTGAAAAGCCACTGTTTTCTAAAAAATAAACTGGGTCCTCACTTCGGTCCAAAGTGTGATCTCTGTCAAGGTCATGCCTTCCAGTTGACTGAACGTTATCTCCATTCTCTGTGCTCTCCAGGTGACTGCTCTCAAATTCTTCTGCTGTTAAATTGTCACATGTGGCTGAATCATCCTGGAATGAGCTGCAACAAATGTCTTGTTCTGCTATGGAGTTATTACAAAGGGATAAATCCAGTCCACTGATCTCCAGTTCCTCTCCATCTATGGGAGGGTGAATAATAATTTTTGGCATTTTGGTGATTGTGTTCGAGGTGCTTCGAAGGAAAAAGTCATCCATACTATAGGTTCCCTCTGAGGAGCCAAAGCCACAGCTTCCGCTCCCTCTATCAATTATTCCAGATACAAAGACAGAGTTTTCCACATAGGTCGCGTAACCTGAGGATACTGACTCTTGAATCGCACCATTAGGAGAACTTGGCTGTGGTCCCTGTTGGCTGTCATGTTGGTCAGCAAGGCACCCTTCATTGTAACTTTCCTGAGGTGTCACGTTGGAAATGAGAAAGGCACTAGATATTGTTGATGCCAACGGAGGAGGAGAAAGCCCATCCTCTCCTTTCTTTACAAGGGGTGGCGAGAGCAACGGACTATCCTTTGTTGTTTCATTGAAAAAATTGCTCTGTGACACTGATCCACCACTGGTGTTCTGGGAATTTGAAGATTTAATGTCAATCTCTGACTCCCGAAGCAACTCCTCCAGTGTTGGTATTGTCCTCAGCTGCAATTAATAAGGGAAATGAAAAAGAAAATAATGACTTATGATTATTTTACTCATTCAAACCAACTGCAGACATGAGAACACAACACATAGAATATAAGCACATTTTGGGATTGCAAAGGGGGGAAGCTGAAAAGCCATGACAGCACTTACCTGAAGATGGTTTAGAAGATTTTGCACATAGGACATTCTTGGATCCTCCTTCAGCTTCCTTTGGCCAGTAGCTTTCTGTGCTGTATCTCTGTGTCTCTGCATCACCACTCTCTGCTTTTCTGAGAGCTATAATCATCAGGAAGAAGACATGGGATGTTATGAATATTACACACACAGGCTGCAACTAAGGATTACTTTCAGGAGTTATTAATTGTTTGGTCTACGAAAACTATCAGTGAAACTCTGTGGATCTATGTTCATTATGTTTTATTACAACAAATAACTAACTTTGTACTCGTCATTTTTCTCTTTATCACTCTACCTAATGGACATCCTTACAGTCAAGAAGAAATGGTTATCTCAAGTTGTCCATTTACAGAGCTCTACTGTTGAAACGTACAAACCTCACTTCTTAGCGCAAATCCAGTACCTACATTACCTTATAAATCCCCTCAATCACATTAATGTTGGCAGAACTGGAGACAGGTATTACAGACCTTTCAAATGCAATGAGCTGTAATCTTACCTATAACTGCAATCTTAAATTTCCCTATGGTTGAATGTCTCCTGTTCTCAGGTGTCTCTTAAAACAGAGACTCAATGAGCCTGTCTGATTAACTCAAAACAAAATGTGCAGAAAGTATAATAATTGTATTTAACAAATTTCCAGAGACCTGGACGACTTATTCAAATGGCTTGTTTTGTCCAACCAATCCCAACATGTTAAATTTACAGTTCATGAACACTGCTGACCTGACATCAGACAAGCTACAGTGATGTGTGACACAATGGCAGTGCATGATCAGTGATGGCACACTGCTACAGTTTTAGTTCGTCTGGATATTTAAGTATAAAACCCTCAGTCCTGATGGTTTTATTCCAGAAGCAGAGCTCATACCAGAGGAGGGAGGATGGGTCGTCCATAGACACGGATGAGAGATGGTGCAGGTGAAGGTTTGCTGTATTCCTCCTCACTTCTCCTCAGATGGGAGAGACGCTGCACGAACTTGTCGTAGTCCTCCATGAGGTTCATCAGCATACCGTGGCAGTAACGTCAGGTAGCTTGAGAAGTGACAGATGTGGGTATATTCACGTTATTGTGTTGTCTTCGCTGACGTTAGCTGCCGAGATGTAACAACAGCTAGCTAACCCACACAACTAAAACTGAGCTGGTTACAGTTTAACACCGAAAAGTCAAGACACAATTAAGGCGCAAGAGAACCTGAGTAAACATACGTACCAGAGCCCAACGGGCTTTTAGTGATAACAGCAGCAGGAGACCAGCACGCTAACAAACAGCGGCGCGGGAGCGTAAAGTGAGAGCTAACTCAAATCGTGGCAGCTCGTAGAGGCACTTCCGGTGTCAACAGAAGCTGCCACTCAGCTGCCTCTGCAGCCACACCGTTTAACGGCCAGATGCCGTTGGTGCGCCACTGTTTAAAGGCAGCACTCTGCCTGAGAGCAACTAAAGCTGGGTTTGGTTCATTCAATGATATATTCTGGTTTCTGAAAGTTTATTAGGGAGTTTGTTAGCTCTCGGGGACTCCACATCTATCAGATCCATACGCATGAGCTTGGTGTCTATGGATCGTTAAGAACTCAAAGACTGTATTCCCAGTGTCGGTTACAGTGAGAATGATGCTGTGCCTGAGGCAACTGTGATAAACCAAAGGAACCATTTGAATTTGTATCCTTGTCTTAAATTCTACATAAGATGGTGAATAACTCCATTAAACGATGATGCAATTTATTGACTACAACTGTACCAAGTAGATTGAAATACCTGAAAGGAACAAAGTTTTAGTTAAACCAGGCACTCTCCATCTATATTTATTCTTTATCTATTTATTTATTCTATATCTCTCTAGGCTGAATACATGTTTTCAGTGTTTTACAAGACAGCAAAGAGAGACTCACAAAATGTTACTTTCCAATTGCATATAAATCATGTACAGTTTTATTTACTATCATACGTTTACTTTGGCCTGAATGTGTTCCTCATGACGGGATCTCATAGGCCATCTCCAAGGACTCTTAGTTAAATACACTAACATCCATAAGAACATTTAAAATAGACTTATTGTTACTCCTTCCACTTCAAAATATGTTTTATGAGTTATGAACTTCTATGCTGTAAAATCATCAGTGTATATACCAGACAAATGACAAACGAAGCTGTACACAGCAAACAGCTACTGACCTGAAGTTTTATTCTCATGTCTTCAATATTTATATGAAGTCAGTTAACTGACAATGTCTCCATGGACAGCAATATTGATACAGGCTGGCTTATCCTGTTTAAATAAAAGGAAATGTACTGATATTAAAGCAAACTGTTATTTCTACTTTCCTGGCTAAGCAGTTATTTCAAGTACTTTTTTTTCTGATGACAGATAGACATTCAAAATGTGTAAATAATTTTTTATTCTTTGATGTTTGAGTAATTTTTCAAATGCAGATCATAATAACTAAATTAAAGCATTAAATCAAAGCATTGGATTTCTTAGGCTAATATTATCATATTATCAGTGTGATTTCAAGTTTCAGTTCAATGACACAAAACATAACCAAAGCATTAACAGCATTTAAGCAGAACTGGTACAAATATGACAAAGACATAAACGAGCATGTTTCAGAACATGAGAAGTACAGATCAATTATTCTTGGTGCTCAGAACAGGTTAATAAACATTCATAAACTACGTATAAATCTCCTGGAATAGGTCACAAACAGCGGTAGTTGCCCTCAAACATGGTGGCAGCAGACTGCACCTGCTTTTACAAATCAGTGGCAGTTTCAGATGCCACCGGAAGTGCCTCTACGAGCTGCCGCTGCCACGCTTTGAGCTTCCGGCTCTCGGTGGAGGAGTGTTTACATTTTTGCCCGCGTCTCCTCCCGGAGCAACTGACAACAGACAGTTGGATCCGCTGTCACAAAACCCGGAGTGGATTCACAGCATGAGCGTGGATTTACTACACGTAACAACGAATTTACACATTTAAACACGAAAAACACAACTTCAAGTCATATGTATTTAATCACAGTAAGCAAAGACACATAAATGGCACTTTTTTTGTGTTAACAATGTTTGAGCAAAGCTTGTATCAATATGGGATTAAATTAAACTCTGTTCCATGTTTTGGTGTTATCCAAACCGGATTGGGATAAACGGAGCTCATGATAACGTGTCACTGCCCCCTACAGGCCTGACGGGCCAATTTAGGCATAAACAATACTGGAAATACATTTATTTATTTATTTGAGATACTTAGTGGCTGACATATCATAACACATCAAAGCCTTTGTTCAGTTTGAATCAAAAACAAACAAAAGGCTTGTAGTTAAGGTTTCGGTGTAATGCCAATTTAAATCTGACTATGATCAATTAGAGTACTGCACCAATAGACCAATAGACAGCAGATATATTGAGTTGTCACACTGATAATAACTCTGTGAAAAACATCTGTAAGGTGTCATACGTCTGAATTGTGACACAAATACACAAATATTCATAGTTCTACCATGCATGCATCACAAATATGTAAATTACATTTTCAAATATCAATCCAATATTGTTGGTCTTTTTCTTGTTAGTTGTAAATTATTAATTCTTTATTTTTCAATGAGAATATTTTTTCAATTAAAATGTTGTTTCGTTGAATGTGACTGATCAGTGAATGACTAACTGAAGCTATGGAAATTTGTGTCATTGATTGAGTGAACATGAAACATGTAGGTTGTAATGTATTTTGTCTCCCCCTACCTTTTCCCATACTGTAGTGTTATACTCTATATTTGAGTTGTAGGGGTTTTTTACATGATAAAAAAGAAAGAGCACAATAAGGCTATGATAATAACAATAATTATGACATACAACATATGTGGCTTTCTTTGTTAGCCAGAATTGGAGCAAG